TCAATTAACTGAGTCTGCTCAGAAGCAGCAGATCTCTGGCGCACTGTGGAACAGAAAAGTATGTGTATAAATGCCCTAAGATTTCCACCCCCACAAATATTTTCAATACATTGCAAGTGATTAGAAAATTCCTTATAAAACCAAAATAAACAGAGCTACAACTGACATTCACATCGTAAGATGTGATATGGATCTTATATCAAATTCTGTGCAACTATTTCTTTTCCTTGAATTTGTGGTTTACCAGCTGTTTAATCCCATTCTGTGGGGAAAGGGTCAGGAGTTACTAGGTCAAGACAGAAACGAAAAGTCATATGACTTCTCCTACTACTCCAGTTTCATAAAGATTCTCCTTTTTTTCCCCACAGTGTACCATTCAGAGATCACCATAGCCATATGGAGACCAAAGGGATTCACTAGGTTCCTTGGATAGGATGGAAATTGTATGCAACTGCTTAGCTTTAGTAAGAACATTTGCAATATTCCAAACTAATAGACAGGTATCCTGGTTTTCTCTGTTTAAAAATTGCAAATTCTCTGACTTAAAAAAAACAAAACAAAATCCATGTTTTTCCAGGATTAAAATGAAATGCCACTATGTATGCATCAATTGAACACAATGCTTTATTGATATTTTTACAATTTTAAAGCAACTTGGAAGCCTGACAGTGCCTCAATCACTATAATAAAATAAATTGTAAATACCTATACATTTTGGTGTTTGATTTGGGGGTTTTTATTATTGAAAAATCAGAGATCCCTGTCCCCTTTGCTCACCAGGATGTGCGTCCAGCTACAGCTGTCCCTTGTCTCCCCCACCACCACTTTGTAGCACTAAGCAGCCCTGATATGCCAGTGCCCTGCACATGCCATTGCCCCAGCCCTGCTGGTGCCCCTCACTCCCCACCCACAGCCCCCTGGCCCTACCAATGCTCCTCACTCCCCACCCACAGCCCTCCACCCTGTTGGAGAGGGCCCCCAGCTGCCCTGGGTTCCAGGGCCAGGGACCTGGGTCCACAACCCCCCACCCCTCCTAGTAGCCAGGGAGCCCCAGATGCCACCTGTGGGAGTCAGAAGCTGCTGTGGTCTGAATAGAGCATGAAGCCCCCTCCCCCACCCCTCCCCCTCTGCCATGGGCAGCACAGCTGGAGCACAGCTTGTAGTGGGGTGACCAATGCAGGCTGCCCATTGCAGGCTTGGAGCATCCTGCCCTGCTCCCTCCTCCCAGGGGCCTCTGCAGTCCAGCAGGGGGACTTACAGGGCAGGGCAGAGTGGGGCAGGGTGAGGCAGGGAGGCTTGGTGCTGCTGCCAGGAGCCCCACATTGCCATAGTGAGGCACTCCCTGCCCACCTGGCAGCAGCTGGGGGCACAAGTCCATGCTGCCACCCCCGCTGCTGCCAGGTGGGCAGCATAGGGCTCACTGAGCCTCCCCACCCTACTTTGCCTTCCCTGCTGTGCCCCAGACGAGCTGCCCACAGCTCCATCCCACTCTCTGCCCTGGGCCCCAAGCACCACCCTGGATGGACAGTGCCCCCCGCCCCAGCCCTGCCCAAGGGGAGGGGCCTCAATCCCCCTCACTTTACAGACCTCAATCTCCCTCCCCCCCCAGACTTACCTGTGGGGAGCTGCTCTCCATGCTGCCTGGCTGCCATGTGCATGTGTTCCCACACATGCATGTGGCGCCCCTGCCTGATCATCCTCCTATTGCTCCCAGCAACCCCTTGCAGGCTGGAACTCTGCCAACTTGCAAGGGGAAACCTGCCCAACATATGTTCTCCTTTAAAGGAGAACATATGCATTTTTCTCCTTAAAATGAGAATATCCACGTTTTATCATGTTTTTCCATGGTGAACAGAAAACCCAGGTCCCTTCTAATAGACAAACCACAGAACGAGCAACCCCCTACTGGCTCATTTAGTCTAACGCTATGCAAAATGTAGCTATCAAAGGGAAGACAATATTAAACTAGTAACTACATATAAATCACAGGCCTAGATGGACAGTAAAGACTGATTTCAGTCTGAAGAATGTTGATGTTGGCAAACATGCATTAGTGCTTACAACAACAACAACAAAATCAAGAACCAATATTTGATATATATAGTAACATAATATCTAAGAAGAATTTTCATATCCTTGTATAGGTAGTAAAGGAAATATAAACAGACTCTAGGAATCCTTTAGGTTGGTGCTTTTTGTATTTGTTTTTTGACACGTAAACAGTATTGCGCAGAGACAAGGGCACAGCACTTTACTCAGTTGGTAATCTAAGGCTCTTTATTACTCCTCAGAACAAGATCATAAGGAATAATCTATATCTGACATTTTATTTATTTATATTGTAGTAGCCCCCAGAGATCCCCAGTCTAGCTGGGCTTTCTTTCCCATAGCAGGCAATTGGATCATTCAGTTATAGTAATTTGTGAACTATTATTTAGACACCTTGGCTGCTAAAGAGCCATATTCTCATCTCCCCACCCTCCTACCCTGGACTTCACTCCAGTTTCCTCAGGTTTTTCTCCACCCTGACTAAATCCACAATTTACTCTCACTTAGTAACAGGATATACTTACCCACACCCACAACACATTTAATAGCAATTCAGATCTTTTATTTTTAATATTATTGAAATTATACCTTAAATTGATATTCTGGTGTCAAATTTGATTCCAAAAACAGTTTAAAAACAGGCATTAGAATTATTTGTAATTCAAACATTTAATCATTGTGGCAGCATACAAGAACCAAGACCCATTCAATGCAGGTCATGTCCTAGTCATTTCAACGGCTCCTACCTCGATGCTTGCACACAGGCTACCATAGACATGGTCAAGGCTGTCACACAGCCTAAGGATCTGACTGCACAGAACAACCTGGCAGAAACAAGGCTCTAGCACTAAAAATCGTACATAACTAATCCTTGTTCGGTAGAAGTGACCAATGAGTTTCCATTCTTCAAACGGAGAGAAAAAAATGCAGAATGGAAATACATGTAAAAAGTGAAAGGCAAAGTAAAAGAAGGGGTTTGTTCCCTTTCACTACTACTAATGTTACAAAAAAATAAAAATTTTTGTTTTTTAACCTGATGCTCACTCTGAGACTGGGCTTTTAAGGAAACTTTCTGTCCAGACCTACAGGGAGAGATGTCAAATAAAAAATACTACCAAAACACACAAACAAACAAACACCTTGCTTCTTGCATATTTTCTGGACCATCAGGGCTACAACAGCACAACCCCTCCGTCCAAAGTATCTTTTAAATGGACACGAGACAAACAACACAGCAGCTAGTTCACAGACAAGCTAAAGTTGCTTATCCCAACTCATCTTTAATTAACAGCTGAGCATCACCAAAGTATAAGCTATGGGAACACCTTAGTCTGTACTTAAGATGGTGCTTCCTTGTGCACCGTATTGAGTAAAAAGTTATGCTTGTCTTTGAAGCTTTACAAAAATCTCTCTCTCCCTGTTCTCTGGTGCCTTATCACTTTCTCTCACCCTCCTCTGGCCTGCCCATTATATCAACCTCTTTTTGCTTTCTCTCTCATTTCCAGGGTTTCCTCCACGTCATCAGCTATTACCACCATATCACTGCTAATTCCCAACTGCCAATTTCCCATTCAAATACCTTCTTAAATCACATCCTGATGGGTTGTGGCAGTGCGTTCCCTTTTCTGTACAGAAACAAGATACCTATTACTGCAAGTACCTTGTACAACTGTCCACGGTAGCAGGTGAGATGCGAGTCTACTACCTTCTCTTGGCCTGGTTCATTTAGATTGTACGCTGTTTAGGGCAAGGCCTGTTCTTAAGGTCTTGTCCAGTAGTACTAAGCAGTTATTGACACTTAGGGCCCAGGTTTACAAGCCATCCCATACAGGCAGCCCCTCACACCCCCGAGGAGCCCACTGCATGCTGGCTTGCAGAATCACGGCCTTCACAAAGCAGCTCCAAGCTGGGGTAGCCAGCGGGAGATGAGGGTGACCCTAAATCTCTTTGACCAGCATAATTTATGGACAAACTCTCCAGTTCAGGCAAGCAGCACTCAGAAAGGTAAGTCTGTCAGACCTTGAACTTTTCCTTTTAAAGGAAGAGTGATTCATCTAATTACGCTGCCAAAGGAGGGGATAAAGTTAGCTCTGCCCAGGTAGATTATAGCTTGCACCTTGCCCTGCCTCTCCTCCCTGCTCTCCACACCTTACACCCCCGCTCCATGTCGCATGCACACATTCACACCACACATGCTGCACAGATTTCATAGATATTACGGCTGGAAGGGACCTCATAAGCTCATCAGGTCCAGCCCCCTGGCCAAAAGGGGCAGGAATCAGCTAGGGTCAAAGGATACATGTATAAACACACCACACACACGTGTACACACACTGCACATGCCCTTACACCAGTCACGCACGTGTGCACTTGCGCACCACACACGCCCTCACACTGCCAGCACCGTAGATATGCACACACCATATGATGTGCATGTACCACACAATGCACACACCGCACACATACACATGCACACCAAACACACACGTGCACACCACACGATGCGTACACACACGACACACATGTGCACATCACACGATGTGCAGGCGCACCACACAACGCACACCACACACATGCACACACCACATGATGTGCGTGCACACATAACACATACATTGCACACGTGCACACACCGCACGACACAATGTGCAACACATGTGTGCATCAAACACAAAGACACACACAGACAATGGACACACACGTGCACACATGCACGATGCACACACCAAAGACATGCACACACACAAGCACCCCCCCCCACGATGCACAAGCATGTGCACACGCGCACCACACACACGTGCAGAGATGTGCACACGCGCAGACACGCAGGGTCTCCAGGTAAGCCTGAGGGAGGTGCAAAAGGGGAAACAATCCGGGCCCGCAGGGAAGAGGCCCCGGCCCCGCGCTGCCCCTCGGCCACCGCGAGCTCGTCCGAGCCCCCCCGCCCTTACCTGGTGCCGAGCCCAGGTTGCCCCTCCTGTGCCTCCTGCCGAGCTCCTCCTCGTCTTCCTCCAGCCTCCAGGCTTCAGCCATGGGCGAGGGGCACGGCCGGGGCGCTCACGCGGCAGGCGCCCCCATGTCCCAAGAGTCCCCCGGCCGGCCCGGCGCTGGGGGCGAGAGCCCCGCGGCACCTGCAGCCTCCCCTGGGACTGCCTCCCCTTCCCCGGCCTGCTCGCTCCCGCCGCCGCCGCCTGCCTCTCAAGTTGCAGCCCCGCCGGGCCCTTTGTCCGCCCTGCGCCGCTGCCCGCCGGGGAGAGGGAGTCCGAGAAGGTGGCGTTCGCCTTCCCCGCCGCTCACCGCATTCCGGTGTCAACAGGAAACCCCGCTCCTGCCTCCACTACTACAGCAGCAGCAGCAGGCGGGGGAGGCACCCGGGGCAGGGCTGGGAGCGAGCTCCCTTAGCCCTCCCCCAGGCTCGGGCCGCTGGCAACTTTTATTCAGAAGAGGGAGCTGCAAGGATCTGGGATGAGGCGCACAGCGGAGGGGGCTGGGCAGCCTCTCCGGGAAGAAGAAGGGCACATGGCTTCTGAGGAGAGGCTGAGGGAACTGGGCCTATTGGGTCTGCGGCGGGGAGGGGACCTGATAGCAGCCTTGACCTACCTGGAGGGGGCCCCAAAGACAACGGAGCTAGACTGGTCTCAGTGGTGGCACATGACAGAACAAGGAGCAATGGTCTCACGTTGCAGCAAGGGAGGTTTAAGTTAGATATTAGGGAAAACTCTCTCACTAGAACAGGTGACCCAGAGGGGTGGAGGAAGCTCCATCCTTGGAGGGTTTTAAGACCCTGCTAGACAAAGACATGGCTGAGATGATCTCAGCAGCAATGTATTGGGGTGCACGTACACCCCCTCAGAGCTCTGGTGCACCCCTGACAGGCCGCACCCCCACTTTGGCCATGGGCGGGGGGGGGGAAGGCAGGAGTGATGGTATCCCCCATGCAAGCGCCGTCCGGGGAGTGGGAGCACCCGATGTAGCACCGTGGCCGCTTCCCAGTCAGTGAGTTTTGCCATGAGGGGACCAGTCACCCAGGAACGATTTAGTTGAGGATGGTCCCGCTTTGAGCAGGTGGTTAGACTAGAGCAGTGATTCTCAACCTTTTTTGCACCGGGACCCATTTGCCAAGATGGATGGCTTGGCCTGACCCATGCACCCCTGGCCCCGCTGCTGCCCAACCCACAGTCCCCTGCTTCCCCGGGCCAAGCTGGGGCCCCTCAGTTCCAATCTTCAGGCTCCTGCTG